GTTATGCAACAATTAATTACTTTTTATTCGTTATGCCAGGTTATCAGAAAGGTCAACGTGATCGTGCTAGCATAAGCAAACAACGTCATCAGGTTAATATTTCTAAGGTTATCTGAAACCGCGTGTTAAATTTGTTTATAGTTATGCTTTGAAAACATTTTACTATAACACTAAATAATTTAAATTCAACTGTAATCAAAGTTTAAAAAAAAGTTTCAAACTGAAAAGCTAAACTAAGGGAAAATGGTACTAATTCGTCAATGATAAATTTTGGTAATAGTTACAAATTGAAGTAAAAAAATTAGATGTGTACTGAAAAGCAAAGTAAATGGAGAAATAATACTTATTCGCTTAAAATAGAGTAAAAAGTCACCTTCATTTATGCTTAATTTTGGTAATATTACTGACATCATGGTATTTGGTGCAGTTTTAATGGGTACCAAATGTACCCTTGTACAGGTACAAAATATTTTCTGAGTTAATTTGATGCCGATTACAGATGCACCGAAAACTGTAAATTTTTACGATTGATTTTTTACACCCCATCCAAGATGTAAGTCCCGGAGAAAATAGCTTGATTGTTTAAAATTTTAAATATCGTGAGTTTCCTAGAGCTACAACATTATGCCAGATAATATCGAATACTGTTAGTCTATATTTTGAGGGTATGAAACACTAGAAAGTGTTTTGGTGTAACGTAAAGCTACCAGAAGGTGCAGCAAATTATCTGTAAATATAATAAAATTAAGAATTTAAGTGCATGTGTCTGTATACTGGATTGGGGTATACTGTAAGTTCTAAAAATACGAGATTCAAAATGAATCTAAATGAATAAAATTGTAAAAAAATTATGAAGCCTATTTTTGTTTTTTAATTATACTTTAAATTCAGAAGCATAGAAAAAATTCTAAAATGGAATTCAATATTTTAATATTTTAAATTCAAAAATGGACGTTTTTCATTGGCTTAGCGGAAGCCAGTGATTTAAAATGAACTATACACGATTTTCAACAAAGACGATTATAGATTTTAAAGATAACATCAGTATAATTTGCTAGCTTATATCTTTAATAAAAAATTATTGCTTATAGTGTGTTTTCTTCTACTTAATTATATTTTGTTTGTTATGCCAGTTTATCTGTTTGATTAATATGGTCGCCTTAGCATAAGCAAACTACATCGCGAAATTATTATCCCTAAGGTTATCTGAAACTACGTGTTTAATTTGTTTATAGCCTTGCTTTTAAAAAGTTTTTTACGTAACTAAATAATTTGAAATGAACTATAATTGAAATTAAAAAAATGAGAAATGCTAATTTGTTAATAAATAATAAAATAATTTGCTATAGTAATAATTAATAAATTTTTATGCTAATTCTTTGAAGAATAAACATAGAACACCAGTATTATTATTGACGCCAATGATATTTAATTTTAGTAAATAACTAATTCAAGTAACATAATAAGCTATGTACTAAAATGCAAAATTAATGGAGTAATGTTACTCAGTTAGTTTAAGAGAGCGCAAAAAATCGGCAAGCACCAATGATGCTTAATTAATTTTGGTAATAAATATTGATTGAAATTAAAAAAAATTTAGTTATGAACTAATAAGAAAAATTATTGAAAAATGTGTACTTATTCATTAAGGGGCGCGATTAAAAATCGCCATATTATTATTGACTCTAATAAATCATAATTTTAGTAATGAGCACTACCGGCATCATGGTACTTGGCGCAGTTTTAATTGGTACCAAATATAACCTTGTATAGGTACAAAATATTTTAGATGCTTATATCAGCTTCTTCAATGCTGTACATTTTCATGATAGATTTATTATATAGAAAGATGAGTACAGGAGAAAGTAGCTTGAATGTGATGAATTTTAAGTATCATGAGTTGCCTTGAGCAACAGCATTATGCAAGATGATACTGAATACAGTTAGTCTTTATTTTGATAGGATGGATTACTAAAAATGCATTTTGCTTAATCTAATAAGGTAAAGCAACCGAGAAGGGTAACAAATAATAATGAATAAATAAAAACATTGTAATTATTGAAACTTTATTATTTGTGTCGGTAATTGTGTGAAAATTTTGTGCACGATTTTGCAATGTTGTTCAGTACAGATTAATTGATGCTTTTTTTCACTCTGTACGAAGAACGGGCATTCAGCTAGTGTAACATAAAACGGGCATTATGATTTTATTAAAAATCAATGTACTTTTCATCTTCACAATCGTTATTTTTTATTATTATTTAAGTTTGTAGAATGAAAAAGATTGACTGCGAAAATATATTTTTTAACTCAAGCTAGAACGTAATATAAAAATAACATAGTGATGTGTTTTTAAAAACTCAAAATAAAATATTGATACCTAATAGTTTTCTTATTGTTCTTTAAATTCTAATGAAGTAAATAGTTGTATTTTTATTTTTCACTCATCATGTTTTGTCATAAATAATTAATAGAAATTATCATTTGTAATTTTTCTTTATATTTTACGTACTTATAAGCATATCTTCGATTTTAAAAAAAATTATGTCATTGTTAGGTAAAATCATATTTGACAAAGATTATTGGCTTTCTTATGATTAAGAAAATAAAAGTTGAGAGTTTATTATAATGTATTTTGATTTCAAAACTTATTTTTTACAATTACTTATGAAATTGGGAAAATATTCAAAATAAAGGAGAAATCAGCAATCTTCAGTCTTAAACATTTTCTAGCACGATTCGATCGCCAGTTATAAAATTTTTGCCAAAAAGATAACTCTTCTATCAGTTCATCTTTGAATAAGTTTTCAGATTCTGAACAATATACTAGCTATCTCTGTCTAAATTTCTTCTCTAGGATTTGGTACTGGCATCTAACAAAACAACCGACGAGTATGCGTACAAGGTGCTCGTTAAATCTCTCGTGGCCCAAAGTCCTCTGGTTGGTTGTGATGTGGAAGTTTGGAGAAAGGCGTACCAGCTCAGCCGCTGTCCACGTCGTTTGACCAAGTTAAAATTATGTGTCACCATAGTCGTTAAAAGATAGAGCCCTAAAAACAAGCCAATGTGCTTGGCCATAGTTGAGTGATGTTTACTCTTGGCGATAACTCATCTTCACTGCACTATAGAGAAATTGTGCCAAATTTGTGGCGTGATACTAAATTGTAACATAAATTGTTATTGATAAAATATATTTACTCATTTTTTTCGATTGAAAATTTTGTCGATACTCAGACATTATTTTTTTCAGTACTAAGTTCAATTTTTATTTATACAGAAACAAAGTAAACTGGGTGAAATGAAATTTGTGAGATAAAAATAGGATTAATATTAAGAGAGCCTATTCCTTAATGTAGCATCAATTAATTCAAAATAATTCGAATGTTTATTAAAAAGTTGCTACTTTGTCTCCAGAAACCGTTAGAAATCGCCAAACTATTATTAACGCCAGTGATGCTTTAGTGATTGTAGTGATATGTGTTACTGGTATTGTGATGATCGACAATAAGTACTGTCATAATAGGCATCTAATCCTCTAATATAGGTACTGTGTTGAGAAGTTTTACACGGCCTCAGAAAAAAGAGTTGCATCATTAAAAGAAAACAAAGGCTTTTAATTTAGACTAGCGTTTAATAAGAAATACGCTGTCCAAAAAATTTAAAAAACTTAAAACTGCTTAAAAACTGAAAAAAAATTATTGTCTACGAATCATGTCTAAGAATTAGTGTTTATTCATTATTTATAATTAAGTATTAATTATTAAAGCAACAAAAAGTTTAAAAGACGTTATGGTGAAATTCTTGTATACTCTACTGCCTTGGCGCAACTTTGAAAACTTGCTGATTCTAAAATAACACGTTATTATTTTAGTTATAACTTCCTATTAAAATGTAGGATTAGACTTTAGTTATGCATGTACAATTCTTAATACAGTACCATAAGACTACTTTTAAATTGGCAGTGTTTGTGATTGTAGTGATATGTGCTACTGATATTGTGGTGATCGACAATAAGTACTGTCGTAATAGGCATCTAATACTCTAATATAGGTATAGTGTTGAGAAGTTTTATACGGCCTCAGAAAAAGGAGTTGCATCATTAAAACAAAACGAAAGATTTTAATTTAGACTAGCGTTTAATAAAAAATACGCAATCTTAAAAAAACTTAAAACTGCTTAAAAAATGAAATAAAAAATGATTGTCTAAGAATCATGTCTAAGAATTAGTGTTTATTCATTATTTATAACTAAATCTTGATTATTCAAGCAATAAAAAATTTAAAAGACGTTATGGTAACATTTTTGTATACTCTACTGCCTTGGCGCAACTTTGAAAACTGCTGCTGACTCTAAAATAACACGTTATTATTTCAGTTATAACTTCTTATTAAAATGTAGGATTAGACCTAAGTTATGCATGTACAATTCTTAATACAGTACCATAAGACTACTTTTAAATTGTTTCGTTACAAAAAACTGTATTTTGCAAAATCCCGTTTACGAAAAAAGTTGGTGCAAAATTCGCCAAATTGGCACTCACTCTTTTTACATCGTAGCCAGTGCATATTTATTGGAACAAAAAGTTAATTAAAAAAAATTGAAATAATGTCTTATATCATGAATATTTGTGGCAGTGTTTATTTTCTAAATTTTTATTTATGAGGATTCCATTTTTTTTCGGTAAAAATCCTCAGATTTTATTTACTATGAAAGTTATTTGGTGTAAGAAAAAATTTAGTATTCTATACAAAACGGAACAGAAATATACAAAATATTCTGAGGTAAATTTTATTAACTTTAAAAAATATTGTAAGTGATGGTAAGGAGTACCTCAAGAACATATATTTTGTTATTGATTAAGAATTCAAGTTAGAATAATATTACAACAAAGCAATTTTTATTATTTATTAGCAAACATGTTATCGACATTTTTACGCAAAAGGAATTTTGGAATAATTAATAAAAAATCAATGTTATAAATAATAAAGTAGAACCATAACTCGTTTTTCCAAGTGAACTATTTATTAATTTTTAATAAGAAAAATGAGCTCAAAAGTCTTTGATCCAAAATATAGCTGAATGCAAAAACATACACTATATTCAGCATTTTAAACATATAAAAGTTTCAGGGTGATTCAACCACATTTGAAAAAATATAATAAGTTTAAGTACACAGTGAAAAATTATATCGATAGACTAATTTAAGTAAACATTGTTCTTAAGGAACTTTTTGAATGCACAATTTATCTATCTTCATTATATTTTTTGATTGATCTTGCTAAGCACAAAGCAAAGAGGCATCCTATAAGCTCAATTGCTGCTATACCAATAGCAACACCACCAATGATTGTAATATTACCCTTTGTTAGTTCAAGCATTTGTGAGAAGCAACCTTTCCAAGACTCTGCTTCGGAGCAATCTTTGTTTGACTTGCAGCAACTGTCTGGGATTTTAAGATTTAGCTTAACATAATCCTCAGGGCCATCTATACCACAGCATTTGAATCGATATTGTACCATATCCCAAATTTTTACAGATTGTGATCTTTGTTGGGCAAGACTTGTATTCATGTTCTTTCTAAGAAAATCTTCCACCTGTCCCTTATAATAATATGCAGCAGCTGCTCCACCAACCTCAATAATCATTATAATGAATACGAGCACAGCAAAGGCCATCACCATAAAATGATTGTATCTCAAAGCACCACAGCATCCTAAGAATGCTACTACAAACATAACACCTCCTATAGCACAAAGAAGGATAGGTGCCGTTAAATATTTGCTATCCATGAAATGTGTCATGTCCTGTTTGGTCCCAAGAGCTCCAACTACGATCAGCGCAATTCCACACAACACAAATATAAAATTGATTGCGATCAGTACATGTCTGACGAATTTTATACCCATTTTGTCAGATTTAACAGCAGCAAAAATCCAAAGTTGAATGAGAGTATTCAAAATCTGATATCGAACGCAATTGATAAGGCGAGAGAAACACACTGACGAAAGCAGGTCGGTTATAATCTTTAGAACGTCACGTGCGTGTTAAACTTTTACGTTGAATTACTTGACTAACTAATTTTTTTTTAACAGTACTGCTTTTGCGCGCCTTGGTAAAAAAAGTTTCATAGATAATAAATTATCTGCCTCAAGTTAAATACAAGCATAGATATATCACATAATTCCTTTTCAATTTAAACAATATTTATATTTATATGATGTTGTTGAAAAATTTATAGTTGATTTAAATTCCTTGAAAGTGATTTGTCTAGTAGGTCTGTGGAGGAATAATTTTTTTATGATCTTTTTAGACATAGAAAATAAGTATGCGCAAATGCAACTCATTTAACTATAACTACAATAAATCCTCCAAATTGATTAACCGAAAAGATAGATTTCACCATGCCAATCTTAGACCACGTGTCACTTTCTCTATTGCTAACGCTTAAGGGAGTTAAAATGGAAAAATCTTCAAGCATCTGTCGTATTCATCTGATATTGTTCTTTTCTGTCTTCTGTCAGCTAAGAAGACAGTTATAGAAATGAAGAGATCATTAATGAACAGAAAAATATGTCTTATTTGATTCATTTGCTTTTAAAACTGGCTCACATTAATGTAATTAATTCAATTTTAAGATGGTTGTAAATTTTCCGGCCACAATCAAGACTGTGTGTAGGGCCATGTATAATCTCTCAAAATCTGTGAGTCAACAGTTTACACTTATATTTTAAAGCTTTCAAATTTTGAAAAATGAGAATTTTTTAAAACACCTGAAATTGAAAATTGATTTACGTTGCAAACGAGATAAATATATCGATAATTTTGAAATTTTAAATGTTTTCTGTTGTAATTGTTTCAGGTTTTATATATTCCATTTTCTTCAAACGTTATTTTAGTTTTAAGTTCTTTTTTTACGAACACTTTTCCTTTTAAAGATGTATTGTATCCGCTTTTTCATATTATTGACTGTAGTAAAATCTAAATCAAATCAAGTTATGGACATTTTTTGACTAGTTAAAGTATTCAAAATTCAACTGGAGCTCTATGCATGATTCCAGTTTGATAGGTTTTTTTCCTTTTTTTTAAAATAGTGCAAGCAAAATTTATTGCCAACTGAAATTTTGTCCGTCCTTTTTCGGCATAAAATCAAACAAGAAAATAGGAAAATAAATATTTAAAAGCAAGCAAAATAAAAAAGATAAAATAATTCTTTATTTTTTTAACGTTTTTATTAACTTGCTTTTATGTCTGTGATAATGGAACTTTGCGAGTAAATTTTTGACAACTTTCTGTGGAGCTCGAGAAATCAAATCTTAACCGAAAGCTCCATTCTCGATGAGAATGTAAGTTTCAATCGTTTCCTCACCTGTCTAAGCAGAATTTAACACAATAATATTGCCAGTCGGCATTTACTGTCAATCGAAATTCTAATTATTTACTGACTGCAAAAAGCAAATAATTACAATATTATAACCAAAAAGAATATTTCGAAAATCATAATTCTGAAGCCGTGATGGCTCAGGGGATAGAGCGCTCGCAGGACTCGAAAAACGGCCCGTCCGCCTGTCCTCGGCGGTCAAAAATTCCCCGCGGACAACGAATTTCTCGAATCCGACGTCCGCGCGGACGGCCATTCTCCCGTTAATGTTCGTGATACATTCTCAATTTTTGTTATCCTACAAAAGTCTATCTCCTCACTTCTAAAATGACCCTCTAATCTAGATATACAGGAACATACTGCATATGGAGGAATTGATGTTTTCTCTGGCTGGGAGTACTGCAGTGGTTGAAATGGGCTTTTCAGCAATGAACTTACAAAAAAACACATTACGTACCTTAAACAAGTAGAGTTATAAACGCAATTATAAATCTCTACCTAAATGGAAAACCCCTTTCACATTTCTGTGCGGAAACCTCAGTAAATCATAGGCTTGATTGTGGAACTGGCATATGTCATATTTGATTCATTTAATAAACGCAGTACCCTCGGATAAATCGACATTCCAGATAACTTGACCTTTGTCATTTAAACTATTTCATAAAAGAAATAAATTATTTCATAAACGAAATACTAGGTTACTATTAGTAGTATATAATGTAATGCGTATTACTGTATAATGTAATCCTAGTATTTGTAATCCTAGTAACTACTAATTCATTGTGCAATTTATATAAATGTTTTTATTTTTATTTTTATAACCGTCGTTGAACAGCCGACCCAACTTCATGGGTTTACGACTACTAACGTTCAACTCCGTAGCCTTGTAATTTTGAACTAATCCAGAAGACAAGGAAACTCCTGGATCAGTACCCCCAGAGGTTTTGATTTGTTGTGGGAACATGGAGGACTTTGAGACTCAACAGATTTAACGTGCATCAGTCACCATTTACTACACGAGGAGTCTTCGGCCGGCGAGGATCGAACCCACGATCTCTTGGATATGGGCCCAGCGCCCTACCGACCAGGCTATCCCGGCCCATATATATAAATGTTTGTAATAAATAAGAGAAAATTATATTTTTAGTTATTTAGAAGCGACGGGTTATTTTCAAAGGACGACGGGTACATTGTTGGACAAGCCGTCCTCGGGAACGGGTAAAATTTCGGAGTTTTTTCGAGCCCTGAGCGTTCGCCTTCCAATGAGGTGAACCGGGTTCGAATCCCAGCGACGGCTGATCGATACAAATTCTACATTCGGCTAGCACAGATAACAGTGCTGACTTAAAATATCCACAGTGGTCAACAGATCATGAGTTAAAGTCTTCTTGTCGTAAGACTAACCGTGAGAAGTTTTCATGGTTTTCCTCTCTATGTAACGCAAGTGCGAGTTAGTTCCATCGATAAATCCTGCACAAAGGCAAATTTCTCCCAATACTTGATACAGGAGTTCCCTTGTCTTCTGGATTGGGGGCTCAAAATTGCAAGGCTATAGAGTTGAGCATTAATAGTAGTAAACCTAAAAAATTGGGTCGGCTGTTCAAGGACAGTTATAAAATATAAAATGAAATAAAATCATAATACCGAGTCATTTCCGAATAGTTGGAACATTCAAATTTTAACTGAAGCTTTGTCCTAGATGATAATAAACGTTGCAATTGTGTTCTGAAGCAGAATGTATTGTGATATCGCAAAAAAGAAAGAAAAGAAAAAATTATAACTACCTGTTAATCAATTAGATTAATTTTGATAAATAATTTATGCATCGCCTATCTGAGCCGACCACTTACCAAACATCTAAAAAACTCTGAACAGCCATATTTTTGGAGCTCCGTATTATTCTGAAGTACAAAAAAGTGTAATTGTTTCTTGACCACTAAAAGCTGAATTTTTGTCTCGAAAACTAATTTAACGTCAATCAAAACTTCGACAATTTTCTGAGTAACTAAAACACTGAAATATCTGCTTAAGCGTTTCCTGATTGTTCTACTTTTTTTTACATATCCGCCGTTAAACAGCCGACCCAATTTTGAGTTTACGATTACTAACGTTCAACTCCGTAGCCTTGTAATTTTGAACCAATCCAGAAGACGAGGAAACTCCTGGATCAGTACCCCCAGAGGTATTTAATTTGTTATAGGAACATGGAGGACTTTGCAACTTGACAGATTTAACGTGCATCAGTCACCATTTACTACACGGGGAGTATTCGACTGGCGGGGATAGAACCCACGAACTCTTGGACATGGGCCCAGTGCCATACCAACCAGGCTATCCCAGCCTTGATAGTTCTATTTTATTTTATTTTATAACCGTCGTTGAACAGCCGACCCAAGTTCATGGGCTTACGACTACTAACGTTCAACTCCGTAGCCTTGTAATTTTGAACCAATCCAGAAGACAAGGAAACTCCTGGATCAGTACCCCCAGAGGTATTGATTTGTTGTGGGAACATGGAGGACTTTGAGACTCGACAGATTTAACGTGCATCAGTCACCATTTACTACACGACTTCGGCCGGCGAGGATCGAACCCACGACCTCTTGGATATGGGCCCAGCGCCCTACCGACCAGGCTATCCCGGCCCTTGATAGTTCTATTGCAATTTTCATGCCAATTTTTTTTTCCATCAACCAAAATTCCAACCCCTTTCCGAATAGCTAAAGCAGTAAAATTTTAAATGTCGCTCTGTTCTGGAAACTCGAAGTTTAAATCGTTTCCATTACAAATGAAATTTATCTCCAAATCCAATGTATCTTAAATTAAAATTTCAACACCTAGAATGCTAAAACTTCCAATACAGCTCTGCTTCGGATGAACATACAAGTTAGTTTCGTGCCCTTGTCAAGAGAGCTGTGAACTTATGTTTATGGGAGGGGGGAGTAATCATTTTGCCGAATAAAATTCCGAATTTGACATAATTCACTGACTTCTATTAAAAAAAAATATTTTTTGCTAATATTTTCCGTATATGCTATGTTCCACCAATATATTACTGATTTAATGATTTTATACTTAATTATTCTAGTAAATGAGCCACGATCGGTCAGTGAGTAAGGCACTAAACTGTTGTGAAGAGCAGGGGTTCGATCTCCAATAACGGCTTGAAGAACTTCAGATTGATAGATATCAGCCTGTTTAGAAAGTAAAGGCGGCTTGTGCTTATGCACAATGATGACCACATTGCCACAGTAAGGCCGTTGGTCGCGAAACTGAGAAGTCTTAGCCTCCATGAACCCTTTCCTTTCATTCTTGTCAATAAATAATGAACTATTTGATAAGTAACCATTAAATAAAGAGAAATAAATGAACTCGCAAAGATAAAGATTTAATTTTTCACTATTCCTCGAATCGAATAAAAATAATTAGGCAATCGGTAAATCTCGTTGAGTACCGAAAAGAAAGATAGTCTGACGTCCAACTCAAAATAAGGCATTTTCCTAACAAGTTAAAAAAAAAAAAAGGATGAAGTACAGAAAATATTTTACGTGAGACCATAGTTGAGAACGAAAAAATTATAGAATTCTCGATATTAGTATACATAAATATCAACATCAAGCCTACAAATTAAAACGTTCCCAATTATTTTTTCTTTTAAATAAAGTTTTTGTTTCGTATAAAAGTCGGAAAATATACAGCTTTTTTGTTAACTTTTCGGGTTATACAAAAAATAATCAGATGCATATAAAATATCATGGACATCTCACTCATTTACAGACATAAAAGTACTTAGCTGCTAACAAAAAATAAATAAATAAATAAATAAAATATAAAAAAAATAATTCCCCCTGCTTCAGAAAGATTTCAAACTCATGGCGACGTAATTGTTTTTGCTAAAATGAATGACGGGACACAAAAAAGATGTGTTCAATTTTGGCGTAAAATAATTAAATAAATACTAATCGCAACAGTAATCTTTTTATACTTGATTTTCTTTTAATCGATTCTCCAGAAGTCTGTAAAAAATTTCACGATATTTTATTTAATAATTATAGATTTATGACAGTGAGAAACAAGCTCGGTAATAATTTTCTGAAACAGCGGTGATGATGGTATATTAAAATAAATTGTCTTTTATCTTAATATAAATTGATAAGAAAAAGTGTACTTCCTCATGTTAAACATTAAACTTTACTAGGAGGCTCCGCCCCCTGATCGCTAACGCTCGCCAACCCCCGAGAATTGCTACGCAATCCTATGAGGTTCACGCCGTGAACCAGGGCTCGCTGCGCTCGCTCGCCAATGAACACAATGTTCTAGCACAAAGACATAGTATATTATCATCAAAGACATAGTATTTTATCATCAAAGACATAGTATTGTACTTATGTAGAAGAATTCTATCAATGTTCTTATTGGCTTTTTCAAGAGTCTGCAACAGGATAGATGCACAAATCTCGATTAGATGGAGGTTCCCCATTGTCTCCAACGAATATGGCAGCAACTTCTGTCTTTAATGTGGGAGCATTATACCGTCTCATTTCTGAAGAGGGATCTTCCATAAAAACTAATTTTACATCTGTTGCAGGGTTTAATTGAATAAACTGATGCATCTGAATATATGATGCAGAAAAAGGGTTAATTTGCCTCAATGGACCATCTAATTGTTCCATTACAGAGCGTAAACATCCAGTATTGTTTTCAATGCGTCTGTTGGTAGCTTCAGTTGAATCAAAAATATACAGCTGCCCGTATCCAGCATTATTTTGATCATTGCTATACAAAGGTGACACCATATGATAAATTTGACCATGAATCCGAAAACAATACGGTCCATTTCCAGGAGGTGGCTTTATGTGTGCTCCAAATGATGCAAAAGCAAGAGCAGAATTATATTCCCGGATATGATTTCGATAATTTCGTGCCTCAATCGAATTATCACTTAATAATTTTTGCAGCAACTCGGGAATGTCCATTAGTGTAGGCAAATTAATTTTTCCATCGTGGCAGCATTTCGTATATTTGCCAGAAGAATTTCTTTCTTTGGCCCAGAAGTAAGCATTACAATAACTACATTGTTCCGTCATTGAGCCAATATTATACTCTTCGACATCTACTGTTACATCTTGAACAGTTATTATTGCACTTGATCTCTGCAATCTACGTCTTCCATAACATTCCTCAACACTTTCTTGGGCTCTTCGAACACGTTTTCTTTCATTACGTTTAAAAGCCCTAGCAG